GGTGGTTTTTTGGTCTGGACACAAAACCCCTATGCGCCTTGAAACTTTATTTGGCCCTAGGCTGAATGGGGGTATGGGCTAACAGATTATGTAGAACAAGCAACCTAAATACTATCAACCTGGATATCCCAGATAACTAGTCTGGATCTACCAACCCTACAATGGGCCTATGCAGCAAGAGCAAACTTTGCATGAGCTATTCCTATAAGAAAACTAAATCATCTAAACTCGTTGATTAGGTATCTGACATCTAACCAACCGCTTCAGGTCCACATGGTACCCCTGTACATATTAAATGGATACTTCAATCCATGAGAAGATCGGAATGGGATGTCCACATAAGAGGCCAGACTAACCAATGAGGCCGCTCAAGCTTAACTTTCAGATAAGAAGTTCACAGCCAAGTGGTTATAAACAACTTGATACCCCATAATACAAATACCATTGCCAGTACTAATTAGCTGGATATTATGGACATACCATACATCTTAGAAACACAAATGATGATCTGGAAATACACACAACATCCATTGCTACAAACCCAGATCCGTGCTCATGTGGGGAGATGCATGAGGAGAGTGTATTGCATAGTGGAGTGATCTATCACTGCCCATTCTTCATTCAAGGTATGTGGCCAAAGTGTAAGTTTGTTACACCGCCTAGAGCATTGCCCACCCTCTGTGGCTATTTAGAAAAAGGTTATGCGCCTATTCAACAGGGAAATGGGCAGGTAATTATCCTGTCCAGGAACTTTTGCTCTCAACATTGAGTTATTTATATACTCACCTCTCCATGCACTAGTAGCATTAGTGCTATGGACAACCCATACTATGGTCTTGGATTCATTTTCAGGCAAACCTCTACCCAATATGAAGTTATTAATCAATTTCCTTCCCATATATTGAACATTTTCAGGTGTGGTTGTTTGTTAACATGACCCCAAACAATAGAAGGATAATTAACTCAAGGCTTCCAATATAATTCCTAAGTACTGATCCATTCCTTAAAACATGTTATAACCAGACATAGAGCTGGCATGATTTTCACCCATCATCCTAAACCTGGCGGTCCTGGATGACAACAGGAGGGTCTATGAACTCTATTTGGTCTCTTTTATATTTCATATTTTATACTCACGTTATTTTCTTATCACTATATAAGAAATGCTCATACTTTGGTAAGACTTCCCCAAATAAATAAATTATGAAAATATTATAAATCCTTCTCATATATATACCTTATAATTATCCTAAAATAAAACATAAAAGTTCATAATTATTAATAAAATAAGAGTAAAGCAACAATTTAAGGACCAAAGGAGTCCAACTTAGCTCTGGTTGCAAACATGCAATCCTGCAGAACCAACCAAGTTACTAAGTAACTAGTAGCAATATGGCCTTCAGGCCTCTAGTTGACAAAGATTAAGCCATTTTTGCAGGTACATCAAAAAGGCTGCAACATTTTCCTTGTTGCTTTTAAAGCTTGTTGGGTCACCAGGGAGGAATCATTGGTGGCATGATCATCTGAAGGCCGGGCTTTGAAGTTAGCAGCCTTGGATGAGATGGGTTCCATTAAAGTAAAGTAAATTAAAATAGGAGTTCTGAGGGGAAGTATTTTTTTAAATAATCTAGCACTATTTATAGTGCTTTAAAATATAAGGATAGGAATCAGGATTGTAAGGATAGGATTAGGGATATTTAAGGGTAGTGTCATGGGACTGGTAGGAAAGTCCCAATGCTAGATATGTGAGAATAGATAAAGAGTGGATAGAGATTAGATAATGAATAGGAAATGTACATTTTCCCCAAATTCAGCATAATTTGGGAAAAGTCCCAAATTTGGTATTCTAGTTTGAATCAAACTCCATTCTCAAATTATTGGGCCATCTGCAAATTATGCCCTTTGTATGATTATTTTGATTTTCCACCTGGACAAGGCTTTTACCTAATCCAGGGAGAATCCCAACAATGCTATTTAAAGATAGCAAAATATAAAGATAGTAGTAACTTAAAAAGGAAGACCTAAAAGAGGCTAATGCACTCAGAGGGAGAGCACCTCCCTATATAGATAGAAAATGGGATTTAATGGTTGACAGCGCTGTTATTGGGTATTAAACTACTTCTTAGGCTTCATGTATTACTAGGTTTGTAATTGGGAGGAAAGTTTCATATTAAAAAATTCAATAATTGAGATTAAGAGAGTTTGAGAATATGCCATGATTGACTGCTCCTTAATTCATTTATTTAAAATTTTAAAATTGATATTCACTCCATCCTCAGTTTTCCAGAAATCAATTGACAATGGTAATCCTTAAAATAAAAAGGAATTAGGAAATTAAAAATGAAAGTTGAAATTGGGGTTTAAAAAAGTTAAACTACTGAAAAACTGAACTTTTTTATCATGAAAATTATACTTGGAGTGGATTCAAATTTTGGGAAAATGGGGGAACTTTGGAAACTGGGCAGCGGTAAGGGTAGGGAAATAAATTATCTGGAGTAAACCTTTCCAATTTAGTATGTATTATAGTGATATCTCTACACAAGACCTAACCCTCTCAACATACAAAATGCTAGGCAATGTGGGGATAGGAGTAGGCATAAATCTAGAAGCCTCCCCATATAAAAATGCTATTTTTTATAAAAATAAATGAATAGTAGGTAACATCTGACTTGAATTTTTTGTGAAAAGCCAAACAAACTCATAACAATAGCTTAACAACTTATTGGCATGAATCCAGTGGTAAAGAAATTTAAATCCAGTTCCTTAAAGTCTATAATTTTGTTATAGAATTTATATAAAAAACTAATATATGAAAATGCCCTATATAATAAAGAGAGAAGTAATATATAATAACTATATAAAAATTGTAAGATCTACTACTCTAAGTAGAATATGGTATATAGATTATCATAACAATATTTACTTATAGCTATTTAAAATATATAGTAATTATATATAGTTTCTGATAAATAGAATTAAACTAGATTGATCTAGAATATAGTAGTTTTAAACTTTTCATATATGATAATACTAAATATTTTAAATTTTATTTGAGGTAGGCTGACCTGGGGATGGTACTGCACCAATTAGGGAAGTGAAGAAAATGGGAAAGGAGGATAAAACCCAGAAAACCTCCATGCGTGGCGTATGATAGGCCAGGAACTCCATGGACCACCTTTGCTATTCGCTATCTTGGTTTGGGGCATTGGCGCGCAAAACCAACACAGTCAAAATCGTCCCCTACCTAAAGTCCATTACCGGGATTGAACTCGGGAGGCAGTGGTAGAGGGTCCATACTCTACCACTGGGGTATCCTCCCTTGATAATACTAAATATTGATACTAAACAATATACTTTACTTATTGATTATATTTTTTATTTTAACTAAAAATAGAATATAGACAACATAAAACACTTACTATGCATAAACTTAGTCTTAGATCAAAATAAAGATATATATCTTAGACTTAAGTGTTTGAATTTTAAATATGCTTTATAACTTAAAAATATGTTTATCAAATTTTCTTTAACATGTTTTGCCTTAATAATATTGTAGACTATTTAAGATATAATATCTAATAAAGGTCACCCATGAAGCAAATTTACAACGCTGAATTTTTAGAAATGTGCCAGGATAAAAACCTTCTTATATATGGGTGGTAACAATAGGACTATTTTGCTAGGCTAACCACCCTTGCAAATTACTTAGGATTGAAAAGATGTACTATACTTATAATACTTGCCATGATACACTGTCTTTTATCTCTATTGCAATTTATTTTGTATGCCCATTTTTTACATTACCATAGAAAAACTTACTTTATTTTATTGGCTTATATATGCCATTCTTTAATATTATACTTATCTAATAATATTAACACTTCTTGGTCTTCTTTTAAGTTCTTAGTGATACCTTCTCTCAATATGTATAAAGTAATTGTTTTAGATAATCTGTTATCTAAATAATAAAATGATGATAGGGAACTATTGTTTCCCCCTCTTTAAATGAACTACTGTCAATTTACATCTAAAATGTTGGATCTTATTATTTTGTCTTGTTTGCTCTTCTAGTATATAAATCTTAAACATTTCTATTTTTTATATTATAATAGTACCTAATCTAATTTATCTATCTTTTTTAAAATTCAAAAGTTCACTCCTAAGCAATTCTTATATAAAGGCGCTTTTATAAATATTTATAATCTCAGTTATAAATATAAGTTTCACTAAAACCTAAATTCCTCTCCATGTATGCTATATCCTAATAGCACTAGAAAAATTAATACTTCACATTGATTTTAGAACTATTTAGATCTTAATAACTTAGCTCATCCTTTCTTAAACCCAAGGTTTTTTCTCAATATTTAAAAATACATTATATCACTATTAAATTAATGTTCCTTCTAATTTGTGTGTTTTATTGTGATTAGATGATGTTTTGACCTAACAAAAGACATATGATTTTTCAAAATTTGATAAAATTAGCTGCTCTATCAATATTAAATCATTGTATACTTCATTTAATATGAAAATATTAACTTTACAAAAATCAAATTACGTGAACAAGCTACATCTTACATAATGAACTATAGTGATATTTTAAATTTATAATTTTTACTAATAAAGGTAATTGTCTAAACTTATTGGCTTTTTAACTTAAGAAAAGTACAGACATTAATCCTGTAAATATAGTGCATCTAAAGCCCTCATGAAGTTTTGTTAGAAAGTTTTTTATATACATTTTGCCTTGCATGTGCAACAGCAAGTGGAAATTAAAGATTGATGTTGGACTATTTTCAACTATTATGGCTTTTTCAGTAGTATATAACAAACTTCAATTGATGCTCTCAATAATACTATGGTGTGACTAAGATACCATTCACTTCTATACATTAATAACTCCAAACATAGTATACATATAATCACTAAGCGCTAGCAGTGAATTACAATTCACCTTAAATCTGCTGATAATCTAACAAATACTTTTTTTAAAAAAAAGCGCGGCTTTAGCTCAATTTTGAGAGCGTCAGACTGAAGATCTGAAGGTCCCTTGTTTGATCCACGGTAGCCACATCTCTTTATTTTTTTCTTTTGCTTTGACCACCTTTTGGCCAAACTTTATCTTGGGATTTTATTCACAGCAACACTTATCTTTACGCTAATTTTTCCTGCTGTTGTCAAGTTCAACGCCTGATGCTCACGCTTGAGGGATAAGTGTGCCGCCTCCTGGTATCTTTTAGTTGTGTGCAAGCATGCCAAGCTGGCTCAAACTAGCCCAATTCCTCTGGTTATTTTGTCTCACCTTTGAATCTAGCCCTCCACCTTGCACATTCCCATTTAGTGCTTTGTAGCCTCCTTAGTTCTCTCCTAGAGCAATTTGCACGTGTGTGTGTGTGTGTGTGTGTGTGTGTGTGTGTGTGTGTGTGTGTGTGTGTGTGTGTGTGTGTGTGTGTGTGTGTGTGTGTGTGTGTGTGTGTGTGTGTGTGTGTGTGTGTGTTTTTTTTTTTTTTTTTTTTTTTTTTTTTCTTTATCTTTGGGGTAAGTACAGAACCTCATTCACTACATGAGAGCAGCTATCATTGAGCTGGCCCAGGAAGTGTTTAGACCTGCCAGGCTTATCGATTTCAGCTCTTTTAAGAGGTATTACAACCTTAGCTCTTTTAAAAAAGCCATTGTTATAATATGGAGATTTTATACCTTGTCTTGAAGGGCCCCCCCTCCCCACCACTTGTACTCACTTGCCCACAGAAGCTATTCTTATAGTTCAATTTGTAGGCTTGCCAACCAAATTTCTCACAAATTAACTCCAATAGACATCATGGATGGTTTGACCGCTTATGGTACTAAACATGTCATGCAGTTTGTGGTCTCCAGTAAGCATAGCCACTTTGTTTGGCGTACACTTTTTTCTTAATTTGCCCTCCTACCCAAGATTTTCACCTGGTAGCCCCCTTCGCGCCATGATCTTATCTTCCTCCACCATTTTTCTGGGTTGGTTAGAAAGTGAGCAGTCTATCTAAATTTATTGCTTTGGGTTATATCACCTAAGGATAACTGGCCCTCAATAAATGCAGCCATGGGTTCTGCTCTACCTGTAAGGTTTCAGGCTCCAGATATTAAGCTGGAAAGATCTTTTCTCTAAAAACTAATAGGGGCACCAACCCCAAGGCCTTTCCTCTCATTCAAATAATGATCTAGGACAAAACCTAGATGAGGGATGGGTAATTGCTGTCCCTCCTTGCTTGACCCGCCTAAACTTGCAACAAATTTTTAGATCTAAACTCATAGTTGTTACTATTTCTGCAAATTACTATGTGCAGAAGACTAAACATCTCTTTTTAGAAGCAAAAGATTTTATTAGTCAAAAAAACAGGAAGATTTCCATTCAAATAAGTGGCAAAACTGGTGCCTACTTAAATTTAAAAAAGTTGACACCTGAGTAACCTATGTGAAATTAATTCACAAAATGAGTTTTATATAAGCAAACAGTTAGATGGAAAAGGTCAGAAAATGCGTTTAATCCCATCATCAAATTATAAAAATAGAAATATAAATTATAAAATATAAAATATAAAAAACTAAAATCTTTCAAGAATAAAGCAGGTATCATGGCCAATAATAGCATATTCAAAGTATAATTAAAACAATGAACTCTATTACTATCAAATTGGAAATCAGTGTTTTAGGGGGTGGAAGGTGAGTCAGTAGGGCATATGGCTACCAACCTGAAGGTTGCAGGTTTGTTTCCCGCTCTTTTCACATCAATCAGGGTGCCAGATGAAGGAATCTATTGGCAGTTAGTAGGTCTAATAACACTAAAACCTTACCCATTATGTAACCAGAAAAATCTGAGTCGCAATACAGAGGTGGAAAAACTTTCTATGACAGAATTGATCCTGCTCAGGTTTCATGTCAATCCTTTCTTTCTATTTTGGTAATATCCATCCCCTGGTTGGATTGCCTCAATTAAATAAAATTAAATTAGTGTTTTATTTCTGCATTAATGGATTCAAGGTTATCATTTCAAATCCATACTATTGTTTCCCAGTCTAAGCCTTACACCCTCAAGTCTATTTTAATTTTAATTTATTGCAAGGAAGGCTGACCATGGGATGGACACTTCCAAATTTGACCCAAAGGAAACAAAACTTAGTAACAGGGAAGGCACCCCAGTGAAGCGATGCTTTCTCTTGTTGCCAGCGGGAACGCAGCTATGGGGAGGGGGAGGGAACGTGTGAAGGGGCCGTAGCCACAATTGAACACGTGTGTAGGAAAGGGTCTGATTTAATGAACCAAACTGGGAACCAGGAGGAGACCAGCTGTCAGCAATGCGGTGGGAGGTATCCAAACATCAATACCTGAAAGTGGTCCACCAAATGAGACCAGAATCTGTGGACAGCTTCTGGGAGGGTGGGGGTGGAGCCTGCGATGGCATCCAAGACAATCGTGTGTATAGTCCACATGGCGATTGCAACCACCAGAGCATGGAGGGAGGGTGGAAGGGGAGGCCATTGATAAAGCAAACATATATCTTGACAGACTGAAGGGATGTGTTTGATCCTGGCCAAGCAGACGTTGAACTTCGCGCCATATCACTTTAGAGGTAGGACACTTCTCCAGGAGGTGGAACAGCGTTCCATACTGGCCACACACAACACAGGATGAGTGTAAAGCGTTATAGCGTTTGGCAGTACAGTACACCCGCCTCAGGAAGCGCCACACATGGGAACGGATATGAGGCTGCAACAGAGAATGGTGTGCTTATTTTCCAGATAGTCTTTTGGGTCTCAAAAGATTAAGGGATTTCCATCATGTCCAGGTAGTCCACCCTGGATAGGACATGGGGTCGTGTGGGGATCACGCCATCTTGGATGGGTAGCCCCTGTACCTCTTGTGTAAACTGAGGAGAGGGGCGGCCACTCTGGGCTGTGTGTCCACTGATATGAATTCTCCACTCAGCACTCCGCATGGAGAGGAGGATTCGTTTGTAGTGGGTTTTAGTCCTGTGAGGACCTGTGGCCAATGGGTGTGAAGCGAGGTATTTCATCAAGGAGTGAGGGTTTGATGGATTGTTAAGACCCAAGGCGCGGGAGAAGTTGGAGCGGTCTGCGCGGGACCAGTGTTGGGAGGGGAGCGTAGGGGCAGTGACAACCACAATCCAAGTGCCCAGGATCTTGGCAGCATGGGCTTTGAAATCAAGCAGGCCCATGCCACCATGATGATGAGGGCCAAACATGACCTCAAGCCATACTGGTGGTAGGCGGCCTGACCAAAGCCATCCTTACAGCAGGGCATACAAGGATTTGAAATAACTTGGGGAGAAGGGGATGGCGTGGGCTCCAAACCAGACTTTGGAGAGGAGCATAGATTTGGCTAAAACTACCCTGCCAGTAAGGGAAGTAGGGTGGGCTCTGAGGGAGGCAATGCGCTTCGTCACGTTGTCTAGAATATGAATTTCCATTGCTGCTGATGCGTACCCACCTGCCTCCACCCACACGCACAGATGGCGGACTGGCCCTATGGTAGGGCGTGGCACGAAGGGGAGCACCAGTGGGGTGGTGTGGGGTGAGCTGGGAGGGCGAGCACATGTGCGAGCAGATGGGCCGGGCTGAGCACTGGTCGCTGGGGCCCAGCATGTTTGATACCGACCAAGGAGGATGATTTTGGTTTTGTAAGCATTCAGTGCAGCACTACTTACCTGGGAATACTCCTGGATGAGAGCTTCAAGTGCGCGTGCATCTTTATTATTAGACACCCCAACCACACAGTCATCTGCAAACGCCATCATCTTGACTAGGGCTTGACCTGGCACATGGACCCCAGTGAGTTGGGCATTCACGTTTTGAAGTAGTGGGTCAAGGCTGAAGTTGTATAAGAGTGGGCTAAGGGGGTCCCATTGTCGCAAGCCCCTTTGAGGGCGGACTACTTCCGTTAGGAAGCCAGGGCCACGCACTGCCATTGTTGCAGATTCCATGAGCAGCATTACCCAGCTGATGAAACGAGGGGGCGAGCGGAATTGGTGGAGGCAGGCCCTGAGGTATTACCAGTTTACTCTATCATAGGCCTTCTGTTGGTCCAAGAATACAAGTGCTCCAGAGGCTGTGGACTGGCATGCGTTAGCCACAGAGTGCACGTTGTCCCAAATCGACCTTCTGGGTATGAAACCAAATTGTTCTGGGGAGATGGTGGTAGATGCTACAATCCCTAAACGGTTAGCCATGATTTTATTATAATTTTTGTATCCGTGTTAATTAAAGAAATGGGGCGCCAGTTGGCTAAGTCTAGCTTGTCCCCTTTTCTTGAAGAGTGTGACGGTGAAGGCCTCTTGTCCTCCTGGTAGGAGGCGCGTTTCCAGAAAGCTCTGGTTAAGTGAGGCAAGCAGTAGAGGATATATATACTCTAAGTACTTTTTATAGAATTCATATGGAATGCCATCTGGGCCTGGGCATTTCTGATTTGGTGCACCACAGATGGCTGTCCATAGTTCATTTGGAGTAATCAAATTCATTATTTCTGGGTATTGGGAAATGGTGTGGATGTGGGTTCAGTCAAAAAAATTCCGCCACTTCAGCCAGCTGAATTGGATTGGTTCAGTATAACTTGAATTAATACTTTTGTGTTTTGATTGCCACTTCAGCTGGCGTATCCGCGATGGAATCATCTGATCTTCGCACCTGTGTGCAGGACATGCTCTGGCGTGGTGTGAAATTTTTTTTAAAAAATATGCGTTGCGCTTGTTGCCCTCTGTAATGCATTTGGCCCTGTACTGAACACAAACTCAATGTTTGTGTTGCCTTTCAAGCGCGTTGAGGTGGGCGGCTGCCTCCGCCCACTTCTGGCCCCATGTAGGACTGTATCCTGTGGCTGAGATGTTGGACTCCAGGTGTGCCAACTCTTTCAGAGCGCATGAAATGATGGCCGATGTGGCTCATGAGTGTCAGGAGGAGAGGTGGCGAGAGTGGCGGATGGTATCCTCTTTGAAGGCTGCCCATGTGGAGATGGAGTCCGCGCAAAATGGTGTAACAAACTCTTTTGCCAAAGTTGCTGATTCCACCCAAGTGGAAAATCCTAGC